AAATGAGAAGGATCAAGTGGGAAGAAAATAGCTCTGTTAATTTTACTTTTTAAAAAGTAAGCCCACCAACCCACCCCCCAAAAAAACCTGAAGTTCTCGGATTCGGGACTCGCTTTCTGGCTCAACAGCTCATGTTTCCAGAGTGTGGATGGTTCGGGTGGGGTCGTACGTTCGCTTCCCGCGGGGGAGAGGGCGGAACAGGCGAGCGGCGGGGCGGTCCCCTCCCTATCCCCGGGGGCCGGGACTCACGGGCCGACTGGGGCGGGCGCGGGCCTCTAGCCGCAACCCGCGGGCGGAGCGGTGGCGGAGGCAGAGGCGGCGGCGGCGGCGGGGGCGCTGCTCGCAGCTCGGGCGGGAGCCATGTCAAGAGAACACCACCAGCCAACTGAGCCCCTCCATCCCCGCCGCAGTGCGCACGGTGACCCGGCCGCCCGCGCTGCTGCCGCCGCTCAGCCCCCGCCTGGGACCCATAGTCTGGCTCGGCGCCCCAGCGGCGACGGAGGAAGGACGCGGGAGGAGAGGCGGCGAGAGAGGAGGAGAGAGGCCAAGAAAGGGGGTCGGCGGAGCTGGAGGGGGAGGGGAGGCGGGGAGCCCTGCGCTACGGAGTCCGTCAGCGAAGTCACCCCCCAAAAGAAAGTTATTTCAGTTCAAGCATCTGCTACGGATTCCTTCTTCCCCCACAGTCGGGTTCTAGCTCAGCAAAGGTCGAAGAGACCCAGAGGGGTGAAAAGCCGAAGCGGATGAAGAGCGTCCGCGGTGGCACAGGCTCGTTACCCCCGCACCAGCAGCTGCGGAAGCGGCGGCAGCCTCGGAGCCTCCCGGGTCCGGGGCAGAGTCGCGTTTCAGAAAAGGAACAAGAACAAACAACTTAAAATGGCAGCGACGGCCCTGCGTCACCCACCCCTCAGCGGCACCGCCCCGAGCCAACTGCGGCTGCGCACAGCATGTGCCCGCACCATCTGCTCAAAAGCAGGGGGGACAGACTTGAGGCGAGACAGCTTTCCTGGTTACCAAGGAAAAAGGAAGAGAAAACTAAGACGATATTGATGTGCTTAAGGTTTTAAATTGTTAAGTCTGAGAAATAAACACTCTCTGTAGTACTTATGCCTTCGAGGTAAATTTGAAAATATAGGCTCCCCTCCCCTTTGATATGGAATTTTCCTGGGCGGGGAAAGGGGCTCCCGCCACTCCCTCAGCCCGATTCTCAGGGCGCCCCAATCTCCAGAGTTGGCGCCTCACCTCCGTACGTCATAGGCCACGCCGTTACGTCCTTCTGACAAAGCACCCGGATGGAGTGGCTCCGCCTGTTCGTGTTTCGTTGTTGGGACTCGGAGCGGTACAGATCCTAAGTAGTTTGAGTTGGCGGAGAGCGGGCGAGGTTGGACTGGAGGAAAGGAGGAAGAGAAAGTGCTTTGCGAGATGGGGGTTAGGGGAGGTTCCTTTCATTGTTATGATTGGCAGCCCTTCCGGGAACTCAACCGCAGAGAATGTGTCGCGGGCGTCCTTCGTGTCTTGGCGCCGTGTTGTCGCCTGGCCACGTGCGCGGACGGCAGCCTGGGAACAAGGGGGGGCGGGGGGCGGTGCAGCTGTGGCCGAGGAGCGACGCAGCCGGACCCGAGCCGTGGGTTTTACCCTGCTGCAGAGAAGCGCAGTTTCTATTAGGATCCCCCAGGACCGCAGACCTGAAGCCTGGCCCTTATGAAGCTGTCTTCGTCCTCAGAATGTAGAGGGACGTTTGTCGCTGAACCATCGTCCTTGACACCAAAGTGCAATGAAACCATTTCCATCTTTAACGTGCTGGTTTGAAATACAGTGATATAAGTAATCAGCAAAGGTCAATACTCCACGTTAGCAAAGCCCGCGTGCTCGTTTATTGGCTAGTATATGATAATTTTGAAGTCCAGCTCCCAAATTCCTGCAAACTTTGTGAAATAAATATTAGCTGTAGAAACTCTGTTTTTCATGTTTAGGCAAAGGGATAAATTTTTAGTCTCTACTACTGTGAAACAAGTGGATGTAGCTGGTCAAAAACTGAATTCTAGGGGTTGGGGAGATGGCTCAGTAAAATAAGTGCTTGGCTGGCAAACTCAAGGGCCTGAGTTCAATCCTCATTTCCACCAAACAAAACCTCCAAAAAACAAAAAACTCGTACTTTGAGGCCAGGAAGATGGCTCAGTAAAATAAGCGCTTCTCTGGCAAGCGCAAGGGCCTGAGTTCAATCTCCGGTTCCGCAAAAAAAAAAAAAAAAAAAAAAGTAAAACAATTCTAATGCCTTGCAGTTGAACTCTACCAGTTTTTGGGCGAAGATGACTTAAGAAATAGTGTGTGTGCCCTGGAGCAAGAAAAACCTTATAGTTCAATCTTCTGTGTAACTTTGAAATGCTGTAAAATATAAGTGATGAAAGAAATCAAAGTTTGAAAAGCCATGACCATAAGATTCCTCAGTGAAATTCAGAGAGAACTCGTCTGAGAATTAGCTAACCAACTATGAGGAAAAATTGTGGGGTTTTTTTTTGGGGGGGGGCGGAACCGGGGATTGAACTCAGGCCCTGGCGCTTGCCAGGGAAGTGTTTATTCCACTGAGCCATCTCTCTAGCCCCCTAGGAAAAGTTATTTACGTTGGAAATGACTTGCTTGGAGGTAGGCTGCTGCATCAGCAGGATTTGTGGAACAATAGCATCCTGACTAAAAAGATCTGCTTACTTTCTCTTAATTCATTGTGACACAGTAAAACTTTCTTGGTTGAAACTCAGATCCCACACTAAAGGGTTACAGTTTTAATGTAATAACCCAGTTATTACATTCTGTGCCAGCTTCCTGTCTGAAGAATCTAGACCAGTCTAGGCAGGCGTTTCCTTGCCAACCAACCGTGGAAACCCCAATCTCCTGCATTTTTATAGCAAGTTAAATGATTACTCAAGCATGTGCTTACACAGCCTACATACATGACAGTAAGATAGCCAATAAATTACTTAGTAACTATGTAAAAAGAGAACCAGCGTTTTATCTTTAAAACATATTGTACACACATGCTTTTCCCTCATGAAAATCAAGATTTCACAAATTCCCATTCCCTTCCACACTTACGCCCAGCAAGTACACTAGATTTTTCAGGAATTTGTAAATATTTTTTCCTTTCTTTAGTGCTCTGGAGTTTATCAAATAAAGACCTTGATTTGAGGCCATCTGTATGATTACATTTATAAGCATGATCTACACAACAATTCTATGTCGTCGTGTGTGTGTGTGTGTGTGTGTGTGTGTGTGTCCCCTGCCCCCATTGAACTAAGGAGCTTATGCTTGCCAGGCAGGAGCTTATGTCACTGAGCTATTTCTCTAGCCTTTTTTTTTTTTTTTTTTGAGGAGATTTAAAAGAAACAACAACAACAAAAATAAGAAATGCTGTCCTAATGGGAAACAGAAAGAGGGCCTTGCTATGTGTAATACAGGCTAGGGTTAGTCTTGAACTCAGTAATCCTCCAGGCTCAGTCTCCTGAGGTATATATATATATATGCTACCACCCTGTTCGATTGGGGTATTCAGTCTTTGACTATAATAAGAGTTTTACCTAGTCTATCTTTCTGATTTAGTGTTTCTGTTTTATTATTTTTTTAATTTATTTTTTGTGTGATCGGCTTAGCCCACCCTGGGAGCGGGGCTGGCGTCATGTGTGGTGCTGGGAGTTGAGCTGCTGTCCCTGCGCTCCTGCCTAAGCAGGTGCTTTAGACCATTAACTACTTTTTTTTTTTTTTTTTTTCCCAGAGCCGGGGAGTGAACTCAGGCCCTTATGCTTGCCCGGAAAGCGCTTATTCTACTGGGCCATCTCCCCAGCCCTCTTTTTTTTTTTTTTTTTAATTATTATTTGTGAGTTCCGGCGGAGTGCGGAGAGAAGCGGGGCGCGGCCTGCTTCTCCCGGGTCCTCCAGGCCCTACTGCCGATGGCGGTGGGTGGCCTGGGGGGCCCGAGAGTGGGCCGCGCCTCTGCCCTGTAGGCT